CGTTGTTTCTATCTGTGGAATGATGCTCCAGAGCAAAGCTTTGTTGACATCTGTAAGAGTTTTGTAGGGAGAAGAGCTTCTCGGCATGTGCAGCCGAACTTCCCCATTAAGCCACACAGCTCCTTGACAGTAGGGAATTCACCTGTTGCTTGTTGCTTCTCCAGTGCATGTGATAATGACTAGTGTACATTTGGGGCTCTAAATATGTTGTTCAGTAAGTGACTGCAAAGTAGTCATGGAGTACCACTGTGTGCTGAGCCAAGGGCTAGTTTGTTTTTTTGGTGACCTAATGGATAGTCTTTTATTGTTTTGGCAAGCATTTCAAGTAATTTGTACCAAGTGGCTTTGTTGGTTGCATTACGTAAGTCAAAACGGTATTCTTCAAGGTAGGATCTTGATCCCTGGGGGTATACTACATGCTGCCTGTTGGGTTTTGGAAACAAAATATTAGACAGAGACAAGAACAGAGGGGAGGCACAATTTTTTTTTTAAAGGTCCTGTGATAGTCTGGCTTATTTTGAGTAGAAATTTCAGATACAGTATTTGACAGTTCTCTTCATCCATAAACCTAGAGAGGGCTTTGTGGCTGTTGGGAGAGTCAGAATGAGTCTATGATAAAATACCCCATTCTCAATACAAAAAGTTCTTCAAAGGAAAGGAGGTGTATCTAAGAGTATTCAAAGTAAAACATCCTGGGAGAAGGGAAAAATAGGATCTACTTTAAACTTTACTCAAATGTAATCGCCTCTAGACGATTCAGTACTTTAGATGATCTTTGTTGCTGCTGTGTTTAATATAAAGCCTTGCCACAGGCACTGAGATTATTAGTGGGCCAGATTTCTCTGTTATTTGGTCAGCATTTCACCTGCATGTTTTATTACAGTTTAATGGCACTTAAAGATCACACAGGGGGACCAACAGATAAAAATCTCCGGCATTTTAGAGCTGCTTATTCTGTCATCCACAGCTCAAACTTTTTCTTGATTTCTGTCTTTGCCTGTCCCTCTCTCTGGGCTGCATTCTGGGTAGTTTCTTCTAATCTAGAGTCCAAGTCTTTCATAAACTGTGCATATGCAAGATTCTGTGTTACTTATCTTTTGAGTTTCTGATGTCAGTGATCATAACTGTCATTTCTAGAACTTGTGTGGTTCTTTTCATATTATTTGTGGTCAAATATGATGATTCTCCTCATTTCCTTCTCTTCTCTTGGGTTTTGTTCAGGTACACAGGGAGGTTGCATTCTTGGCCCAAACCCATATGGTGAGGTGTTCTCCAAGAAGGCTTTTTTCTTTTTTTGTTTTTGTTTTTGTTTGAGACCGAGTCTCGCTCTGTCGCCCATGCTGAAGTGTGGTGGCGCGATCTCAGCTCACTGCAGACTCTACCTCCCAGGTTCAAGCGATTCTCAGGCCTCAGCCTCCCGAGTAGCTGGGACCTCAGATGCATACCACCGTGCCTGCTCACATTTTGTAATTTTTAGTAGAGACGGAGTTACACCATGTTGACCAGGCCGGTCTCAAACTCCTGACCTCAAGTGATCCGCCTTTGAAAGCGCTGGGATTGCAGGCATGAGCCACTGTACCCGGCCTGACTTTTTTCTTTTATTCTGTTTCACTGAGGATTGAATCCAAGATTAAATAGCATCCGCATCTTCCCTCTGTGGACCAGGATTTTTCTGCTTGCCTTTCGGGAGTCCAGATTTATGCAAAGCTCAGAACAGTTGTCCTGTCATTCTTGTCTCAGGCTTCTCTCCATCTGCAGGTCACCAGGGACCAATAGATGGTCAGGAGGCAAGCATGGGCTCCAGAACGCACTGAGAGATTTTTTCTCATTTCTGACCTTAGAGACTCTTCTTTATTTTCCTAATGATTAAATTATGTATTTAAAAACATGCTTTTATAACACTTGTATTAAAAAGGAAGAGAGAAAAGTATCTATTAATATATACATATATAATACATACCATAAATATGTATATATATTTGTATTTTGACTTGTACATGCATTTTTAAAACCTCTGGAACAACAATAAACTAGTAATGCTGGGGACGCAGTAATGGAAACAGGAAGATGTGGGGGCAGTGGTGACAGATTTCTTTTATGAGACCCTCTTAATATTTTTAGTGATTTGAACCATGTGAATATATTACCGGTTCAGGGGCTGGACGTGGTGGCTCATGCCTGTAATCCCAGCACTTTGGGAAGCCAAGGCAGGAGGATTCCTTGAGCCCAGGAGTTCAAGACCAGCCTGGGCAATATAGTGAGATACCATCCCCATAATAGAATAAAAAATTAGCCTGGTGTGGTGGCGTGTACCTGTCGTCCCAGCTACTGGGGAGGCTGAGGTGGCAGGATTGCTTGAGCTCAGAAGATGAAGATAATCATGCCACTGCACTCCAGCCTGAGCAACAGAGCAAGACCCTGTCTCATATGTATATATCTGGTTCAGTCAACCAATTGTGTAATAGAAACTTTTTTCCCCAACAGTCTAGATGTTCTTTATTGGGTGGGTTTCAGGCATCTAGTCTAGTATTTGTTGGAAATAAAATAGTGATTACTTCTGTGGTTTACATATATGCATTTTAGATCATGGTTTTGCCTGTGTCTAGTCTTCTAGATGAACTCTGTAGATCAATATTTTCCAAACTATCTGTGGCAAAGCAGTTGTTCTTTAAAATTTTCCATTCTGGCCAGGTGCATTGGCTCACACCTGTAATCCTAGCGCTTTGGGAGGACAAGGTGGGGCCGATCACTTAAGATCAGGAGTTTGAGACCAGCCTGGCCAACATGGTGAAACGCTGTCTCTACTAAAAATACAAAAAGTTACCTGGGCATGGTGGTATACGCCTGTAATCCCAGCTACTTGGGAGGCTGAGGCAGGAGAATCAATTGAACCTCCACTGCACTCCAGCTTGGGTGGCGGAGCAAAACTCTGTCTTAAAAAAAAAAAAAAAATCCAATCTGTCATGAGCTGATATTTTGGTAAACTATGCTAAAAATAAATTGCCAATCACATGCTTGATGTCATGGCAATGTTAAATTGCTATACAAGTTTCTAAAACGTTTCACTTAATTGTTTCCCATTTGCAAACCCATAAAAAGCAACTGCTGGACCAGACCTCACTTTAAGTAACATTGCAATAGACAGTGCTCCAGTATTTTCTGGTACTTGGTGTATCAGAAGTTGATGTCACTTGTTCTTTAAACTTCTTGTTGATTTTTACGTTTTTCCATTGTAAACCTGGTGTGTGTATGTGTGTGTGTGTGTGCGTGTGTGTGTGTGTGTGTGTGTGGCTTGTGTGTATGTATATAAAACTGTTTGTATAGCTTTGTCTAAAACATTAGATGTTTGCTGCAGCACACACCCGCCTTAGTTAGAAACCAAGCGTGTGGCTAACTCATCTGGGTTGTGGCACTGGTGTCCCTCCAAAAGTCATTCCTAGTTTAATGGTGGATTTTATGAAATCAAGATGCATTGATGCAAGTATTTTTTGATCATCTAGAAGTTCTCATTAGTTGATTTTCACAGTAAGTCAGAGCTGCCATCTGGCTGGCAGCAATTGTAAGGTACCGTTGATGTCAGAGATGTTAAAATGTGGAATAACATGTGTCTTAGAATATCTTGCAGATGGACCCATGATCATTCTAGTGTCTAATTACTGTCAAATGCTTGGAGACTTGCTTATGAGAAGTACTTGCCATGTACTTACGAGAAGTAGGAGGAAGCCTTCAGTGGCTTCCTTTAGAAACTTCACCACTGTACTGAGTGGCATCTTGTTGTGACAGCCTGATGGGCACGTTCTCTCTTTTCCATCATTGCTTCTGTTTTTTTGAGACGGAGTCTCACTCTGTCGCCCAGGTTGGAGTGCAGCAACACAATCTTGGCTCACTGCAACTTCCACCTGCTGGGTTCAAGCAATTCTTCTGCCTCAGCGTCCTGAGTAGCTGGGATTACAGGCACCCGCCACCATGCCTGGGTAATTTTTTTTTTTTTTTTTTTGGTAGAGATAGGGTTTCATCATGTTGACCACGCTGATCTCAAACTCCTGACCTCAAGTGATCTACCTGCCTTGGCCCCCCAGAGTTCTGGTATTACAGGTGTGAGCCACTGTGCCTGGCTGGCATTGCTTCTTTCATTAGGAGCCCTGCTGTGCTACAGCATCCTTGCAATGGACCAGCAGTGAGAACATTGGCCATTTGGCCACTTATCTGTTAACTGGTGGCACTGGTATGTCTTCCAGTGTCGTTAATAGACATTTTTCTCATCATCGAGTTTTTTCCTTACTTTCAGCTTCCTTCTGTTCTACACCTGCCATTCTGACCTTCTTAACATTGGGAGTTCCAGTTGTCACATTACTTGCTTGCCATGCAGTCTGCTTGACACTTCTTTGCATTGTGTATTATCTCACTGCAAAGAAATTTCTCAGAAAGTTCTGGTTATTTTTCCATAATTTTCTGCTGCAGATGGGGTTATATTTTACCTGCTTTTGCAGTTCTGTGGCCACTTCAGTGGCAGTTTAAGATGAAGAGCAATTAATCTTCGTGCTAACACTGCCATTCATTTCTTCACCATGTATTTTATTGAATGCCTGCGCTATGCCTGGCTGGCATGGTTCTGTGAACACAGCAATAGTCAGAAAGTAAGTACATCAGGGGTATTCAATCTTTTGGCTTCCCTAGGCCACATTGGAAAAAGAATAATTGTCTTGGGTCACACAAAATACACTGACACTAACAACAGCTGATGAGCTAAAACAAAAAAAAATGGCAAAAATCTCATAATGTTTTAAGAAAGTTACAAATTTGTGTTGGACTGCATTCAAAGCCATGCTTACCTGGTTCTACTTCCCTTCATGTTCAGATCTTCTTGTAGAAAGATGTCAACTTTCAAAAATCTTAACTTAGAATTTAGTGATTTATTGATAGCATGTAAGTGCTTTGATTGGATACATTTGATACTAATGTATTCTATAGAAATAATTTATTTATCATTTGCCTTTTAGCCGATTACACCTCAACAAGAAGGCAGCTGACAAACAGCCTTATAGCAAGCTCCCAGGCGTCTCTCTCCTGAAACCACTGAAAGGGGTGGATCCTAACTTAATCAACAACCTGGAAACATTCTTCGAATTGGATTATCCCAAAGTAAGTACAGTGTTGAATTCATTAGGAATGGGCTAGACGGTGGTTTTTTGTTTTCTTTTGTTCCCTTCATGATAAACATTTAGGGATTTCAACACTATATAAGGTGAAGGTACTAAAAATTCATGATGATGTTGGCATCATCAAATATAAGCTTTAGTAGTAGTCATCACAGAACAGAAATTGGGTTGAGGAAGGGGTCTAACCACCTATAGGTCGGTGTGAAGTAGAGATCCCTGAGCATACCTTCTGAAACTCACACATTGTCAGCTGCCTGGTAGTCTGAAAATAAAAATGTTCTTCCATAAGAGTTGGATGTGAGCAATAGGAAGAAGAGACAAGGAGGCAAGGAGAGGGAGAAAGCAGTGTTAGTGGTCTGAATGAATTGCAGAACAGCTAGAACCGAACATGGCTTCCCCGGAGACATTGGCTTTGAGCCCAAAATAGATTACAGTTAGTGGTAAGGTAGGGTTTCATCTTACCTCATTTATAATTTCCTTACTGTTCTGATTTTAATAGCTAATTGTATTGCTTATACCATTTATCTATGTAATCTGTCTATCTATAAACTTAGTATACTCCCTTAATTAGGGAACTTCCAGTTTTCTTGAGATGAAAGTATTCTTTTTATCACTTTCCTTTAGTCCACCTGTAGTTTCTTCGGAGAACTTAATATTCTTTGATTTTGCACTTAGCTTTACAGCAGTTTTTTATTAAATTGCGTATTTGAGACTGCCTTTGAAAGGGCATTTTGGTGGTAACAGATCACTTGGGAGAAGAACGTGTCTTTAAGCTTCTACCCACTTGACTTTCAGTACAGTTTAATTTCCCTTTGCGGTCTCTGTTCACTTGCCTCAGTTTTTGCCCTATTGCCTCAGTTTTTCCATAGCTATTTTTGCTACTGGGAGAGTCAGTCCTCTTAATTTTTTTAGACAGGGTAGCTCAAACAGAAGGAAGATGATATGCACACTGTACTTCTCATGGTGACTGGTTTTCATGTTCTTATTTCTTTTCTTTTAGCCTTTATTTTTCTCGGTAGCACCAATGAAAAGAATAGAGAAGACACAGATGTGATAGCCTTAATGCAGCCCCTATTAAGTAGGTAGACATGAGTATCATTCAGTTATTTTTTTTAGTGTTTTTATATTATTGCTTTGGAGTTTTGAAGTTTAGAAGCCAATTTTGGAGTATTAGAAGCTATTTTGAAGCAAAAAATTATATATTCTAGTTTGTGTGTGTTTATATGTTTAATAATTTTAGAGATTTGAATTAAATACATGTGTTAACCATTCAATCAAATATGTAATTTAAAAAAAAAATAATATACATAAAGAAGTTAAAAAAACAAAAAAGCTATAATTGTATATACTTGTTTTTTCAAACTAAAAAATGTAAAAACATGGTTTTCTGTAATTCAGAAAGAATGATATAAATAAAATTAATTGTAAAATATTCTTTGCAGTAAGAAAAATGGAAGATTTTCAAGCTCCATAAAAGTAAATGCAAAGGAGAATTAATGTTTATGACTGAAAGAAGTTTTTCATTGATTAGAGCATAGCTTAGAATCATATGCATTATCATTGTGAAACTGAATCTCACATTTCAGTTTTTTAACCGTCATCTTTCACTTTCCATTCAGTCACTCTTAAAATTAGTTATGGAATTTTTATGTTGTAGCACTTTTGAGATGATAGTTACGGGATTTAAATGTTTGAGGAAGTTAGTGAGGAGTTTAGTTGTAGAAAGAATTTTTTTTTTTTTTTAAAGACGGTGTCTTGCTGTGTCACCTAAGCTGGAGCATAGTGGCACAATCATGGCTCACTGCAGCCTCAGCTTCTTGGGCTCAGGCAGTCCTCCCACCTCACCCTCCCTAACAGCTGGGACTATGGGTATGTGCTGCCACACCTGGCTGATTTTTGTATTTTTTGTAGAAAGAGGGTGTTGCCAAGTTGCCTGGGTTGGTCTTTTAACTTCTGTGTTCAAGCATCCTCCCACCTCGGCTTCCCAAAGTGCTAGGATTACAGGCCCGAGCCACCAGGCCCCACCGAAAGAATTTTTAAAAGTAACCCTGGGAATATATGTATCCATTGACTCTGAACATTTCTAATGACTCCATAACTGATTTCTTCTGAATGAAGAATTTGGCTGGGCATGGTGGCTTGTGCCTGTAATCCCAGCACTTTGGGAGGCTGAGGTGGGAGGATTGCTTGAGGCCAGGTGTTCAAGACCAGCCTGGGCAACACAGTGAGACCCCACCTTCAAAAAAGTAAAAATTAAAAAATTTTGGAAATTACAGTTTAGAATGATCTCAAGAGCTCTCGGTTTCACTTAGAGTAGTAGTTCTTTTTCCATTTAGTTATCTTATTTAAGTTGGTTGAGGAGAAAGTTATTTTGACATTCATTGTAAAATGAATAACAGCATCTACAGGAGCTTATTTTATTCTTTGTTAGTACAGAAATTTGTTTTCTAATTATACAAGTATATTTAGCTGTATAAATAGAAAGTTTGGAAAGCAGGGGAAAAGTGCAAAGTACCTGCAATCTAAGGGATTGATCTCACAACATTTTATTTACTTTGTAAAAACCAAATACAATGGCAAATGTTCTACAGGAGACTAAAGTTAAGTCACTGAAATCACACATATCTGAGTGTGAACAGACAAGGCATTTGTGTCACCAAGGAGTCAAGGAGACACAAAATAAACATTTGTATGACTGCCAGGCGCAGTGCCCTTTCTTATTTGCATTTTGCCTGGTGTGAATGTCGTTTTTTACCAGAATATGGAAATGTCATTTTGGACATAACTTTCTCCTCTAGTATTCGATGGGGACCGTCGGAGGCCATTTGGGGGAAAATAATAGAACATATGTTGAAGTTTTAAAATTTTATTTAATTTTGGACATGTGTAAGAAAATTTGCAACTACTGGTACTTGCTCTGAATTTCTAGGTTTCAATTTTGGTGAGACTATATTAGTTGCCCTGAAAGATCTCTGTGCTGTATATATCTTACAAATCTACTTTTATACTGGTACTCATTCCTTGGGAAGACATAGAATGAGAACGTGATGCAGTTCATTTTCTACAACACTGAGCATTCATTTGACACCAGCATAGAAGGGATTTGGGGAGAAATTAAGCAGTAGCAGGAAGACTTAGTAATCTGCATCTAAAGTGGCTTTCTGGCTTTACTTCAGTAAATTCTGGCCATGTGAAGAATACCTAAATTATCAGTTATTAACAGAGTGAAGCTACCGTAACTATGATTTTTTTTTTCTTTTTCACAATTACAGAATTGATTGTTGTTTGTTTGTTTTGAGACACAGTCTTGCTCTGTCACCCAGCCTGGAGTGCAGTACCACAATCTCGACTCACTGCAACCTCCACCTCCTAGGTTCAAGTGATTGTCCTGCCTCGGCCTTCCAAGTAGCTGGGATTACAGGCATGTGCCACCATGCCTGGCTAATTTTTGCATTTTTAGTAGAGATGGGGTTTCACCGTGTTGGTCAGGCTGGTTTCGAACTCCTGACCTCAAGTGATCATCAACCCACCCCAGCCTCCCAAAGTCTGGGATTACAGGCATGAACCACTGCTCCTGGCCCACAAATTTCTTTATTGGCAATTTTTGCTGAGATTATATGTAGTGGGAAAACAATTGCTTTTATGCTCATAGGCACTGTAAACATTTTATTTCTACTTTTTACTTGTGTATGCTTATCAGTGGAAGTAAATAAAACAGACTTTGTCATTATCTTGAGTTAGTTAGCTTTATTATGTTTTCATGGTCTTAATTAAACTCCCTTCTGTGCTTAAAAACGTTCAACCAGTTTTATGTTGTCATTTTTCATTTTTTGGGTTTTTTTTTTTTTTTTT